CTTTCAAATGCGACTGTAGCTTTTTTTTCCCCCAAAACTTTATCTTCAAAATAAGGGTGCGTCTTATATTCCGAAAAATACGGTAACCTCTATAATGTTTGAGCGTGGATTCACCGCGAAACAAACGGAAGTACTTTCATTGTTAAACCTAATCAGTTTGACGAATGGCATAAAACAAGATATGCTTCTTAAACCGTTCAGTTTTCGGTTTTATTTTTCTATAATTGAAGCAGTGTTTTTACTACTCAGCAAAGATTCAAAGCATTCAGTAAATGTTACGATTTAAATAATAAAGTTATCAGTTATATTTGATTGTATAGTATTCCACAAGTAAAGGACTTTTCTTGAATTAAACAGCTCATTTAAATATATACATTATAAGAACTGTAACTTTCAACTCCCTTGTTTTAGACTCCGTGTATAAAGTTATCACGAAGATAGTTTACATTGTACGCGTAAATAAAGTTGATCGAACTTAGAAGAACACGTGAAAAATGTGTTTTGTGGATGCTTAAGTCTTTTACATGATAAAACAGTAAAAAAACTTGTTTTCGTCATTACTGTACCATTCATGTGTAATTTGAATTTGGAGTAACACTTAAAAACGAAAATACCTGCAGCGTAGCAAGTTGAGAAAATAACTCATGGATCAAAAATGTCCATTCTTCGTAGACAGAAAATTGTTCTTCGCTGTTTTGTTCATGCTACAAATAAGCTGTCATTGACAATGGATCAACTTCAGTGATGAGGTAACCCTCTACAGTCTGCACCACTAGTTAAGTCGCAAGTTTCGGTACATTTCTTTTATATTTGTTGGTTGGTTTGTTTTAGTGCAAAGCTACACATTGGGTTTACTGCGCTCTGCTCATCGCGGGAGATTCTATACAAGCTGAAAAAAGCTATGTAAATAGAAATACTTGTTAGTTTTATATAGACAGCGTATTTCCTTTTTATCATCAGTTGGATATAAATATAGAATTAAATCTAAGATAAATGTATTAACAAAATACGTGGAAAGGCTATTATAACGTTTATTAAGGAAATCTTTAAACGAAGCAGGTTTACATGTTTGTTGAATTAGTAAGTTGGTCAGACTGTTAGTATAAGATTCAACAGTTTTCTTTGTTTCTATGTTTTAACGCAATATCACATAATAAGCTGTCTGTGCTCTGTCCTCCGCGGGGAATCGAATCCCGGATTTTACTGTCTAAGTCCATAAATATCTCGCTGACCCACCAAGCGACAAAATACAGAAAAACTGATGTTTGATTTCTAGACCTTTTAATTTACAAAATCTACTAATCCTTGTAGACAAGATATAGCATTTATTGAGTACTTAAAGTGATGTGAAATCTCTATAACCGTATTCACATTATAAACATTATATTGGGTTATGTAATACGTATATGAACAGTTCAATCATTCATAATAAGCATATTTTGTGTAGTTTTCTAGTGTGTGAAATTCTGAATATTTATTTTCGTCAATATAGCATGTTTTAGGATATCTGAGTTAACAAGTCGGGGAATTTTTTTTAAGTTTTACTGTAAAAATATTTTCTGTATATTGGCACGCTCTATTTATATCTTATACGTTGCAAGAAATGTAACAAAAATAAAACCTTCCACACAAAATTGGATCACTAAAGTTCATCACTAGAAACTGTAAACACTGTTATAAAGAACAACTATATAGAAAATCTCGAAACAAGTAGATGCGTGTCACAATGTAATAATCTAATACATAGATTAGAGACTTTATCAAAAAGATCGCTGAATCAGAACCCACA